ATGTACCTTTACGATCTGCACGTACAAGGTGATGGCCAAGGAAAAGCTTGATTAAATGAGTGGAGAAACATAACAAATGCACATGCCTCCATACAGAAAACAAAGGCTCTTTGGATGGTTTTAATGGGTCTGAAAATGATTTAAATCATATGCTGTGGCCTTCATAGTGACCACAAATCAACTGAACTCAGCACTTTTGGAAATGTTATGTGCTAGTTGCAAAACTATATATTCCTAGAAAAGTACTTTGTTATTTGTCTACTTTTTATCCGGCATTCGTTGTGATGCATATCTTGGTTTTAGTCTGAAAGCTAAGTTACAGTGCTCTTCACCTCCATCATCAAAATGGTCCAGACTTGGAATATTACATTTCTTTTTCCTTTCTTTACTGCCGCTTTTATCCGACTTACAAATCTCCTTTACATTTTTGGCCATGCCTGTGTGAGCAATAGGGGTTCAGCATTTAGCATAAGGAAACGTTAACATGTGTACTGCAAAGTGTAGGGGTTGAACCATTGACCCTCTGATTTGTGGACCACCATTTCTCCCCTAAACCACAACCACCCTTTGACAAGAAGTATTTCATTTTGACTGTGAAGCTTTCTACGAGCCTTGTACATCTCCTCTTACTATGACATGTAATGCTTACCTTTCTCTTAAATTTCCCTCAGTCGATATTCTGCCTTGAGTTTAATATGTAATATTAGTTTACACATTATTGGACTTCCCAAATCAAATACTTTTTCATCCGTTTGTTGACGTATTGATGCTCGGTTGTCAAGAAAACAATAGCCAGAGAAGCATCTTGGTTTGGTCCCTCATCATCATTTGTCCTTGTACCTCCCACTCTTACTTTCTTGAGACCCAGTTCAACGGAGGTGAATGGCGTAAGCGGGGCACAGCTGCGAGAGGCCTCCGGTCTCATCGTTGCTAGATGAGTGCTGCTCAGTCTGAGAATCTGTTGGATGATTCAGTGAAGTCTGACTTATGATGATTGGAGTTAATACCGTAGCGAGACAATTGGCCCACCTGCTAGCATCCCAATGCTGTAGCCCACTGGGTGAGGAGTCTGGGCTTCCCTCCACCAGCACAGCTGCACGCCTCGATGCACATGCAGAATTCAACATGGCCTTCCGATGTCCCTGAAAGTGGAATAGCCTTGAATACACAGTTAGTATTAGATAAAGTCATAAGTCTCACTCGACATATGTTATACAATTGGCTGAAATGACGCTTGTTGTAGAATTGTTCTAGTTATCAATACACAAATATACAAATTAAACAATGAATTATCCTGGAAATGAAGCACACACAAATCGTTGAGAGGGTCAGTAGACAGACGTTACCAAATCAGTTTTACATTTAACAGACTTCCCTTCTGTGCTACGCTTTTTGTTCATCATAATCATTAAAACACTCATTTAAATGGACAGCAGGAAAGGATGATCTCTAAAGCCATTAGTGAAGGCTACAGCTTCGCTTTTGAAAGCTCCTGCTTTGAAAAATGGACAGAATCGCACTCTAATGGGGTGTTAGTGTATTCATCACAAGGGATTTTTCCCCATACTCTAATGTACAAAGCTGCTGTTGTCGGATTTAGCGATTGATCTTTACACACAGATATTTCCAAACAGATCATTTGATGAAATATTCAGCTACAGCACTGGAGCTTATTTCCTGACGCAAGATAGTTCTGTCAGTGAGCTTGAAAAAAACTATTATACTTGAAGCCAGACAAGGGCCACAGCAGAAAGCCTGTAGCGTCACGAACACAGGTAGAATGACTAAGCAGTTTCTGAGAAAAGCCTTCCCCTGGTTGCTTAGTCACCTTTTCTCTCATTACCAAAGTTCAAATGTTGTCAACGCAAATTTTAGATTTAGTTATTTGCTCGCTTCCAGTTGGAGAAACCACTACATTGGTTGCTTTGAGGAAACGAATAATGATCCTTTATTGCCTGTACAATTAAAAAAAATCCTTTACAACTCTTTAAATCTCTGTAATATTAATGTTCAGAGGATTGTTACTTACATTCAGAAATGCACACACAATCACATATCCTGCTCTTTCTGATGGAATACTGAACCCACACTGCTAAAAAAGCTTTTAGCTTTTATTTATAAAACACTCCTGCACTGAATACCATTTATTATTGCACAGAGTGCAAACATATACGTGATCTGACACTGTGGCAGTGCAGCCGGAATGTACATTTCAATCAGCAGAGAGTTACTTGTAAGTAAACAGAAATGTATTGACATAAAAGGATGACCCCATCATGATATCATATATTTTAAGTGGGTGGGGAAGCTGTCAGTGGAATAGGACATCCCCCCCCTCCTCCCCAGGGATGTGGATGTGATGAAAAGTGGACTTGTGACGAGCTCAACCTGGGCACTGGATATGATGACTTGGGGTCAAGGGGTCAAAGAGGATGCTACCATATCACTTAAAACAACAGCTGACGGCAGTTGAGAGGAGATGAGATTTAACGTTTAACAGCAGCAACGTGATTGGCTAATGGAGATCATGGAAAAAATCTATTTGGTTAATTAAAAGAGTGAACAGACTGCTGATTAGAAGCAGCAGAAGGAGAGAGAATTTAGAAGGAGAGTCGTAAATATGATGCAGAAAGAGGGAAACATTCTCAGTCTTTCCTTGATGGCTGATTTGTATTTTAAAGAAAGTAAATCTGAGTGGTCCGTTTACAACATGTTATTTTTGTCCATTCTGGAGGATACATTGTCATTCAGCAAAGGTAACTCATTTCTTTCTCTCTTGGATCAATCAGATCAATGTCAGCCACGCAGAAGACCGGGATGTGCGCATGGCTGCACATGCAAACACACACTCTCACACACACTAACATTGATTGAAGCATCATTGTCAATTAGTTATAGAACTAGACAAATATCTTACCCTCTCTGCATAAAGAATAGCGCACACACACTCATGTCAAGTTTTGACTCCTGCCAGACCATTAAAGAAGAGAGCAGCTCCTTTGGCTCCTTAATGGACATTTCAAAGCCTTCAGAGAGAGATGTTAACCCTGTGCACTACTTGTGGCATTAAAAATGGATCAAAGCAGCTGAGCTTTGATGTCTGCGGAAGATCTTATTTGGATCGCAGAGCACACGACTGCCTCCCTAGCACCCTCTGCTGGGAGAAAACAGTCATTCATGCTGTAGTGTTATTACTTCTGTAATTGTTTGAACCCCTTGCTGCACCCAAACTTCCCACTTGTCGGAACAATCATTGAAATGAAAGACAGAGTTAAAGGATAACAGTGAAAAGGGAGACAAAAGCAAGGCAGCAAATGAGACACCAGCTGCTTCCTTATTTTCTTTTCAGTCAGTCCATCAATCAGGTTTTGTTATGCAACTTGAGAGATGATGTGGACTGTCTGGGGTAACGTATGGAAGGGGGGAGGCACCTCTGTTGCTGATGGTCAGGGGGAACGAACTCTTGACCCTCAGCAGGCAGTCTTAAAATCTGGCTCCCCTCGTATTAGAGTCTCCGCTTAGGCCTGTGTGAATGAAGACCCTGTCTGAAGACATAAATGACTTAAGGGTGAAGCAAAATCACCAACCTGTATGTGTGTGTGTGTGTGTGTGTGTGTGTGTGAAAGAGTGTTTCCAAGTTGTGTGAGCTTGTAGGCTCAACACAAATGGAGACAAGACAGATGGAGCCATTTTGCTGTGTTTATGCGCTTCTATTAGACAGAAAAAGCCAATTGTGTGTGCATTCATGCAATTCCTCCGTGGACTCAGACATTGTGTGCATCAGCGTCGGTGTGTGTGCGCGTGTGTGTGCGCACCCTTGTGTAAAGCTTAAGAGTGTTGGGGGTGGGTGGGTGCAGCCGAGATGGAGATGGAGATGGAGATGGAGACGCAGATAGAAAGAGTGAAAAAAAACCCATAAATAATTGATGATAGATTCCGCCTTGCATCTGGCGCCTGCTGCTGTTAAATGTGTTCAAAGTAGATATTGATGCAGGATCTTGCTAAAGCAGTGTAACCACCCCTCTGTTCTGACCTCATTACCACATTAGTAGAGCAACAATGCACTGCTTTTTAAGGGGTAAAATATTACATGTGATATAATGGATGCAAATGTCCGCGCCTTAGATCATGTGCCAGATCTGCTGAATATTTATGTTGCTGCCATATAGGAGGGGGGAAGGAAACCTACTTGTCATGGAAGTGAGTTGAAAAATAAAAGGTCCAAATGTGGATTGTCAATTAATGATGTGTACGCTTGTTAAGTTGGAAGGCTTTCCCAGGCTTATTTCTGGTGGCATTTATTGGTCAAAAACAAGTAGGTTCGGCTGTTTGCGGAGACTCAATAAGTGATTGACTTTAATGTATTTAAGTTCTGCTCGCTCCCTCCCTCCGCACGCCTATTTTCTCTGTTTGCCTCATTAAAAGCTTTGTAGAAATTCTCCAGCTCTTGTGGAAGAGACTTTCTTTTGATTAGGCTTTAAACAAATGGAGGAGTTGGTTGACATCTCCCAAGACCGTAGCCCTCTTTTGTTTTGCTGTAGCACTGTTGCTGCCCTAAAACCCCCGCACCCCCCACTCTGACAGGACTCCAGCACTATTCCCCAAAGCCTTTATTCTGGCTTGTATTTTTCACAAAACTCCAACCCCTCCTCCCCTCTGCCTTTGTTAAAGACGGCCCCTCAACCACTCCCCCCATCGTTCTCTCTCTCTCTCTCTCCGGCACTGTCTCACTCGCTCTCATTATGCGCTCATCCGTTCCGCTGGCTGAGGGCTGAGGGCTGAGAGAGGAGCGCTCAGGAGGAGAGCGTTAGGGAAACCAGCAACACGCCGCTTCTGTTTTCTCCAATAGAGAGGAAAAAAGAAAGAAAAGGTGGACCAAAGTGGCAGGAGCTGCTTTTTCTCCTCACTCCCGGTTTGCCTCACCCCTCTCTCTCTCTCTCTCTCTCTCTCTCTCTCTCTCTCTCTCTCTCTCTCTCTCTCTCTGTATTGCTGCGTCTGTCTGCTGACTTCACTCATTGACTCACTCTGCTCTGCTTCAGCTGGCTGACTGAGTGCGCTGACACTGGGACCACTACCTGCTGCCTGGGGATTAAGCACGCTATGAATACCCGGAGCCTAATTTGTTGTTTTGGCTGCCAGTGAATGTTGGATACCCACAGAGGAGAAGCAGGGTGCATAAATCCTTGCGGCCAGGACACTGGGAGCGCCTCTGGACCAAGACAACACAGTGAGAAAAGGGGACTGGATGCTTGAGGAAGCATATCAAACACAGGAGACGAACCAGAGCACGAAAGAAAAGACTGGACAAGTTATTTCCTGAAAGGAAGAGAAGACTCTAAATCAACCAGTCTTATGAGGATAAGGGCGCAATGAGACCCTTTTCCTCATTATCTGGCTGGGATTCTCTGTCAGGGTGCTGACACGAGGGAAGAAAGCCCAACAAATCTCCGCCTCAAGCTTCTTGAGTGATTTCTGATCACACACAGGGTTTATTCTCCTTTTTCTCTCCATGAGTTCATTCATTTAGAGCGTCCCTGTGTTTTGCTGCTCATCCGTATCTGCTCGGGGGAGAAGACGGCTCGGGCATTGACAGAGAATTACCATTATTCTCTTCTCCAACTTTTTCCCCCTGTTTGCCACTTCTTCTGACCTGCTTTCAGCCCCTGCACACCAGCGGGGTGGGGGGCAGCTGCTTCTCCACTACATGAGACTCTCCGGGAATAAAGGTTATTGAACCGAGGAGTGGCAGGGGCACGCAGGAGAGAAAGGCAGGGAAAACAATCCATCTCTGTGAACCCCAGGAGCATATGGTTTAGCGAGCGGCAGCCAGCTGCTTTCCAGCCGTCCTGCTGATCACGCCACAGCAGATACAAGTTGCTCCAGTGGCGGTGTCAGGTTTGGACGGATCTTACGTGCCGCGGCCGTACATCTCTTCCCTGTGACAGGCAGACCAGACCATAAACCAAAGAAGTCTGTCCAGTGGATACAAAGAAGCAGTTGTGTTGGAGCTGGACAAATCCTTGCCCCTTTCTGCAACTGCCACAGGAAGGCTAAAACAGATATTCGGCTGTCACCTTTAAGGGAAATACTTGTGACACACGTTGTTGGAGAGCACCAGACCTTGTCTTGGTGTGTAAAGGCTTTTGACAAGGAGAGGAGGGGGTGTGCAACCCCAGAGCCCTTTCACGTCCATCTAATTACCAGCCAGGGTCACTCGAAGGGAAGGGGAGGATTCCATTTGTGGATTTACTATCGGCTCGCTTGGAAGTTTTCCGTGTGGATATTTGACAATTCAGAACACCCACATCCTTAACGCTCCAATTTCTGGCATAGTTGCATCTCACTGATACACGCCAAAAGCCCACTGACGCACATTTACAAACACATTATCACCACCCACTTAAACCCACACACATGTTTGCAATGAAAGTATAAACCACTTTACAGCACAGACACATAGTCACAGATTTAAAGCCTATTAGTTGGTTTTTTTCACTCGCGGATACCACCAGAATGGAGGTCGGGTGGACAGGTGGGGGGCTGTAGGAGTCCAACATCTGATCTGTGTCCGTCCGCTTTACCCAAATGGATGTTATTATCTCTAAAAATGTGTTGCTTGGAAACCGCTGAAAGCTTTTTGCTACAATTCTCTGACAGAAACGGTCACCGGGTCCTCGCCACGGTGCACAGCTGGAACCACAGCTGAAACACCCACCATTACTCGTCTTTTTTTGCCTTTTATCTTATCTTCATCTTCATCATCTGCCCTCACCCCACCGCCATCATTTTTTCCAACGGATCTTTGGGCGCCCCTCGTCGCCCTCCTCGGCCCGTCCTCTCCTCCACCCTGGAGGGGAGGGGGTCAATGGAGTGGAGCATGAGTGGGTGCCACTATCCTTCGCCGCCGCCACAGGAGCAGGAGCGCAGGTACCAACACAAAGTATCGCTGGTGGTGCGCTACTTCATGATCCCATGCAACATCTGTCTGATCCTGCTGGCCACTTCCACACTGGGCTTCGCGGTGCTCCTGTTCCTCAACAACTGTACGTTGGTTCAACAGAAACACACATACTTTCACTACACTCTGGGTCAATCCTTGGCAATAGAATGCTTGACATAAACCCCTAAGTACTGGTGCTGCTTTTTTTAAACAGAATTGATCTGGAAGTATAATGCGTTGTTCATTCCATACTGTTTTTGCTTCATACTACTTACCATAGAGCTCACTTGACCCCTCACATGACAGTTTTAGCTGCACTTACATTATTTGCATTAGTATATGTAAAGTCACAAACCCCTTTCCACGATTGTGTCTGCAGGCTTGCAAAATGTCTTCTTTTTATCATCTCGAAAGATTTGACATTTACTTTGAAGTGTGGGATGAAGTATTAAATGGCGACTAAATGCCTTTCTTTTGGCCTTGCTTTACTGTATATGGACAGCAAAGTGGCTCATAAAGAGCAAACTTGGGGGCTTAAGTAGTGGTTCAAAATGGATGGTGACCATCACAGTTGTTTCTTGGGTCAAAGAGTTTTCTGACGAGAGGGGTAATTGCTTTAGTTGACTTCTGTTAATCCAAATGCTTGCTTTCATTGCACTGGTACTTTGTAATACTCTTCTATTTATTTCAAATGGAGCCCTACCAAAGACAGGTTCACGCCTTTAGGTGCTGATTGTTTGCCTTCACAACATGACTTAAATCATTTACCGAAGTATATGACACTTTTATTATTCACCAACAGCACACCTGCAGCTGTTTCCCTCTAGCATTTGCCTGCTTATTTTAACACTTTCTTTACTTCTTCTCACTGTCTAACAGACTTACACAAGTCTATTTCTGAGTGCCTTGCCAGTTTTGACTGTGTTAAAGGTGAACATCCTCAACTTTCCAAAGTGGGCTATTATTTATGCAAGACTAGTGCCACATAATCACTTGCACATGATAATAAGGGAGTCAAATTGTAAAATAGGCACTGTCATTCCAAAGCCGCACAATTGGGGCAGCACTTTCTGTGGGGAGGCTCATTAATACTCTTTGTCCGAGGTTTCTGTTCAATGTCAACACATTCTGTTAATCTGTTATCTGGCTGCTGTCTTTTTAGCTACTGTTTGTACAAGGCAAAGTCCTCAACCTGGAGGATGCCACTGTATTGATCTACCATCGTTTGGTGGATTTCTGTCTTTCAATAATCGTTGTCATCCACTCCTTCTCCTCGTAATGTGTGAGGAGAGGAGAATGAATCATTTGTAACCTTGCCGTATTGTCAATTTCAGCGAGACAGATTCTATTAGATTTAATATGAATCCAGTTAAAGGAGGCCCAATCTTAACCTCTCAGATAACTGAGCGGAAAATAAACGTGCGCTAGAGAAACTGATGAAGTGAAAGGGGCTCTATTATGCTGCCAAGAACCCTCACCATGTTGCAACACAGACAGCTGGATAGGGTGGTGATAGTGCTCGTAGTGGTGTGTGTGTGTGTGTATGAGTGTGCGGAAGGAGGGGTGTTAGAGGCAACCCCAGATTCGCTCTTTCCATTGTCACCATATGGGGTGAATCATGTCCACACACAGTAACCCCCCTCTCACCAATACACTCCCGCCTGCCAACAGAGCCCACACACAGACCTACACCCTGTTTATCATTCTGTATGATTTCCCATCAACCACACCAATAGGGAAGATGACACGCATTCACTGATACATACACACACCCGTCTTCCTGCACATGGCTAAATGTCACAGTCAGACACCTATTGATTTGCTGAAGATATAAGGTGAATGATGGCCATGTTCTGACATGCACACAGGCACGGGAACTCACACAGGCTCTGCAAGGTGCAAAGGGAGATGGGAAAGGCTGATATGTTTATGGAAAGACCTTATCTTGTCCTTTCATTATGGAAATGTGACAAAATCGTTTAGCATCGCCCGGCACTCTGTACGCCGACTTCTCTGTCAGCCTATTTCTGGTTCCCCTTGAGCGACAATACCTCTGTGTGTGTTGGCTCGCGTGTGTTTAAGAATGCTTACGAATGCGAGACAGCGAGCGCAGCCTTGTGTAGATGTGTTTTTGTGTGTGCTGCTTTACACTCAGTCTCAGCAGAACTTCTTGATTTCCCTCATGCCAATTTCTGTTTCTCTCGTTTTATATGTTTTCATGAAATCCCCCCCAGATGGAAATCAGTTACCGTCATGACTGACTGGGAAACAGCTTCAGCCGACACTTCATTATTCACCTCTAGCACCAGCCTCGCCTCTCCGCTCCCCTCGCCTCATTTTTTCTATCTCACACACACTTCCTCTCCCTTTCTCCCCCCGAAGCCCCGGCTGTTGACAAGCAATTTTAAGTGAGCCTAAATTTAAAACTCAGCTGTGTCTTGGGACGCCGATGGGTATCGCAGACGTCCTGAGAAAGTCTTCGTCGCAGTGGTTGATGGAGCCCCGGAAAAATGTGTTAGCGGGGTAATTGATGTGATGTGTTTTATCTTCCTCATTATCCCTCACAGTGAAGAGACATTGGAGGATGGCTTGGAGGCTACACACAAGTGTGTGTGTGTGTGTGCGTGTGCATTCAGTGCTTTCTACTCTGACAACCTTTTGGTGTTCTTCTTAGTGAGTCAGACAGACGAGTTGTCTGCGAGAGTGGGGATGGAGGTTTGGTTTGGTTGTTCTCGGTACTCCAGTGCCCTGTACACTGTGACCGGTGTATCATGACGGCTTTCGAGGAACATATTGTGTCTGTAAGAGCTTTTCCATTTAGAGAAGCTCCTTTTATAAATGATGACATCATTTCGATGGATTGTGCTTTATGATGGCTGTTTTAATGCCATTATATAATGTAAGAGTCTTCTTTCTTTGGTAATGACTTTGTATACTTTAAAGTGCCATATCATATATATTTAAATGTTATCTGTTGGTATTGTTACTCCAATGAATCTGGATCGATGTATCATTCCAATGATCAGTGATCCTAAATTGTTCATACAATGTGAACATCTAGCATTGTTAGTAGCATAGCTTAACAGGGATTGGGAGCAAATATCTAATCGCTTTCCGAAAAAACCATCTTATCTTGTATTATGATAAACACTTTGAATTTGCATCACTAGTATCTGTTTTCACTTTGCATATTTGCTAATCTAAACAAAAGGCAGATGGGATTAGTTGTTCAATTGGCCAATTAACAAAAAAATGAATGTACCACAACCAGTTATTAAAAGTTGTTTTTCTGGTTCCAGCTTTTTAAATTAAAGGATTTTATTTTTTCCCTTCTCTCTTTATTTATATGTTAAATGAAAAATGTTTTTCAATAAGGGCAATTTGAAAACATCCCGTGGACTCTCGGAAATTGCTTTTTCACAAATGTTGGCGAATTGAAGCCTAAACAAACAATGGTATTGTTAAAAAATAATTTGGGGGAAAATACAAGATGGATTGACAATGAATGAATAATTGAAAATAAATTAAAGTTGCAGCTCTAACAATATCCTCTATTTCCATCACAAACAAAACATTAAAAACAAACTAAAAGTCTTTCATGCACCTTCTCATATTCCAGCGTTTTGGGGCCAAACTGCAAAGAACTCAGGTTTCATGGGATCTCTCCCCTGAGTGTTACTAGATACTCAGTCATCTGACACTACAGGTCTTGTTTTATGGTTCCCACCGGCCGACAAGCCTTATGTCATCGTCTGCTGGGTGTTGACCAGGAGAGAAGCATGATGTGATTTGATATATTAAGGGGGGGAGAAAGCCTGATTTATTCTGCATATGCTTGCTACAGGGACTAGAGTATATTCTCACTGATGTACTGCATGTCCTCACTGCTGTGGAATTTCTAATCTTATCTTACACTTTTCAACCCAAAACAAAGACACAACCTTGTCCCTGTGTTTCCAATTCTCATGTGATCTTAGAATATCAAAACTCATGCTGTGTGGTTTGGGTGACAAGACCAAACAATAATGAAAAAACAATGATAATGCTATCTCTGAAATGTACTCCTGTCGATTAGCTCAGCTGGGTTCCTGCTTGGCCCAGTCCCTGCATTACAATGTGTTAGATAGAAAAGGCCAAATCTAGCCTATTTGTTGGTGCAACTCAATTACTTGCCCTGCCCCCGGGGAAGTCTGCGAATTCCCCCCAAACTAAAAACCCATTTCTCTCTTTTTATCTCTTTCAGACAAACCTCCTCACTTCACACCAGCCCAGCCTCCTGATGGTAAGTCCTCTGTGGTTTATCTTCGCTTGCCTCCATTGACCGCTTGTGTTTTGGGGTTGCACCTGTGTATAATGAACTCAGACTGACCGATCCCTGCCTTTGAAGTGGGCCGCCGTCTGTGCCCCGTGTCAGATTTGGCCACTGCGCTTTTTTGTTTCCACACAGTTGGTATGGCGGGCACGTGGCCAGGTCTGCTAAGGGCTTTGATGTGAGAAGGATCTTTTGATGACTTGATTTCGAGTCGAAATATTGGAGAAAACCGTACTCTTACAGCTGCAGCATTTTATACATGCACACAATATTTTTGATATTTTTCAGTCCGGTTTTAAAGCGCTTCACAGTACTGAGTCTGCCCTTCTAAGAGTATTCAATGACCTCCTGGTCACTACAGACTCTGGTGACTCTGCTATTCTTATGCTCTTAGACCTCACAGCTGCCTTTGATGCGATTGACCACTCCATTCTTATCTTCTTCTGCCCCCCCCTATCCTGCGGAGTTCCCCAAGGTTCTATTTTGGGGCCCATTTTTTTTTTTTTTATACCTTCTCCCCCTTGGACTGATTTTTAGAAAACATGGCGTCTCCTACCACCTTTATGTGGACGACTCCCAAATATATCTGCCCCTAAAAAAAAACACCAGCTCTCTGATGCCCCTGGTTGACTGTCTTAATGACGTAAAGGCCTGCATGGCGCTAAACTTTTTAAATATAAATGAGAGCAAAACGGAGGTCATTGTGTTTGGGCCAAATGCTGATGTCCCTTCCATTGACCTGGGTTCCCTGCAACCGTATGCAAAACCCATGGTCACTAATCTGGGCGTCAAAATCGACAGTGCTTTAAAATGAGATAAACAGATAAACTCTGTGGTTAAGTCCAGTTTGTATCACTTGAGGCTCCAAAATCAAACCGGTTTTATCCTTTTTAGACTTTGAGCGTGTAATTCATGCCTTTGTTTCTACTCGTCTAGATTACTGTAATGCACTTTATGCCGGCCTAAACCAGACCACGCTGGCACGCCTGCAGCTTGTACAAAGCGCTGCGGCTCGTCTGCTTACAGGAGCACGCAAGCATGAGCACTTCACACCTATTCTGGCTTCCCTCCACTGGCTTCCTGTCCATTTTAGAGTTCATTTTAAGATTCTATTGTTTGTTTTTAAATCGCTTAATGGGCTGGCCCCTCAGTACATCTCCGACCTCCTACAGGTGTACACCCCCTCAAGGGCTTTGAGGTCGGCTGATCAACTGCGGCTGGTAGTCCCTAAAACAAGGAAAAAGACCAGGGGAGACCGAGCCTTCTCAGCGGTAGCCCCCAGGCTCTGGAACGACCTGCCCCCCCCCCCATGTCAAATTGTCGCCCACTCTTGAAGCTTTTAAGTCCCGCCTAAAGACCCACCTCTTTCCCCTCGCTTACGAGTCAGTCTGAGCTCTACCTATTTGTATGCGTTTATTGTCTGTCCATAGCCTTTATGTGCCTTGTATTTATTCTTATGTGTGCCTTTTATCTATTTGTGTAATATTATATTTTATTATAATGTTATGTTCATTGTGAAGCACTTTGGCAAACCCTCTGTTTTTAAAATGTGGATTGGATTGATTTGATCTGCTCTGCACGGCTAGTTGGGCTGATGTTCAATACATGTTACCACAGCAGCATTCACATCTGTCTGATAGGGTCTAATGCGATAAACCCCCCCATCCCCCCTTTCCTGGGTATTCCTCATCACCTGAGGCTCCTGTGGGTTTGTAGGCCCGGAGCAGCACCATCACCTCACCTTGTTAGCCACATGTTCTCATCCTGTCACACACATATCAATCTTTGCAATGGCTGCTACGCTGTTTTTAGTAGTTTTCTGGCTCGGCTTTTAATTATAAAAAGGAACACTTCATTTCCAAAACACTGGATCTCTGCAAGCTTTAATTGGAGGAAAACAGCTGTTTTTCAAGCTGCTATCATGAATATTTATCAGAGGCAGCGCAGTGTGACAGTGTTTGATAGACTTTGGTGTCGTATTTTTCTTTTTACTGCACTGACAGACAGCCAGGAATGGACTCCTACTAGTTCTGACGGAGTTGTATCATCCTGCCTGTGTGCACGGTACAAAGCCAGAGGTTTGGACAGAGAAAACAGGCGGAAAAACGGTTCTAATGATCCCAGCTGGCCAGCTGATGTCAGGGACAAAAGTCCACAGTGGGGGCTTTCTCAATCTTTCCCAGTAATTGCTCAATCACTCTCCACATAGGCCAACCTGTTTGGAAAAGCGGTTTGCAACAAGATGGCATTTTAAAAAAATGTATCAAATTAGAGGTGGTTTAGGATGAATGTGATTGTCTGGCATAGTCTGAACAATACAGTAGGTTATTCACTGTTCGATGTGAAATGACTGGCGTTTGGGTTCAACAAATAAGTGTGCCTTCATTTGAGCATTTGTCAACTTGGCCTCACCTGAGGAGTGTGCCTATTGTTTCTCCTTTACACCGTTAACAGCAGCTATTTGTTTCTGTTTTAATGGCAGATGAAATCGACTTGACAAACGATTATACCTCACATAGAGGTCTCTATTTGACTGTTTTTGAAGCAAATATTGCCATAAAATCTGCTTTCCACTGGGAACATTAGACACAGTGTGCAGGCTGTGAAGCAGCCCATTTCTGTCTTCCATTGAATTTCCCCTTCAAAGGAAACAACGCCCTGCTTATCGATTGAGCCACTCATTTCCCATGTATTAAACTTTTTGCTGTCTGAGGGGCACAGTTTGTTTCCGCACTAGTCAACCATTTAAAAGCTGCTGCTAGCCCTTAATTACAATTCCAATAGTTCTGTAGGCTTTACATCAGCAGCCTTTGCTGCTTTAATATGCCAAGGAAAACAAAAGGCAAAGTCTCCAATCAGCGGGGTAAGCCTGCCCAGTGGGACGTAGTTTCTCCGGGTCATTTAACTCTGGAGAGATTAGTGAGACAATTAGAGTTGGCCCAAAATAAGACAGTAGGCCACTTTTTGGAGACGCATGGTTTTAGTAGAGGTGGATAGGCGATTTAGAAGATGCTGTAGACCAGGAGAGAGCTAATGTAGCCCATCTATTAGTCAATGTGCTCAAAAGACCAAAGGCCTTGTTCTACTGAACTTGTGGACAGTGCTCAAGGATGCTCTGCTCCCCAGGACTTCATTACAGGAAATCAGAGACGGGATACCAGGGAGTCTGCATTTTTAAACTGCCTCATTTGTCTCTGAACTGCCGTTGATGAGACGTCCTTATTAGCGCTGGGAGATTCTGCTGAAAGTAAAAGAATTTGTTCTTCAAATTAGAGCGAGAGAATCTAGGGACTCGCTTGGGAAAATGCAGGATCGGCACAACATAAGCAAATCTCTTAGATACTATTTATGGTGAGCGCCTCCCGCAAATAGCTGACGAATCCTCCCCAATGAATGGCCTATAATAATAATCACCAGTCAAAAAAAAAGTGACAAAAGTCACAAAGCAGCCTTTAATTAGGCTCGTTCTTTGAAAGCTCCAAAGCAGCAGTTGCTTGGGCTCGGGCCACATTCATTATTGCCTGTCGTCTCCTGATAATAAGACAGTTGTTGCGTGTTTGGCAAAAGCTGGAAGGCTCTGAGAATTTTCTAGCTTGAGGGATTAGTATTGGACTTTGGAAAGGGAGTCCATTCCGGAAAATGCTTGATGAATGAGGCTCTTGGCGCTTAACTGTCAGCGTCCACATCCAGAGAAATCATGTTTATGCATTGGTCAAGGGCATCTGAAGGTGACAGTAGTATCAGATTTTCAGATTTTCAGTTTTTTTATTAGAGATTTATGAAGAGATTACTTATCCGGCTGGGTATTTATGTCTTGTGATTTATGCCAAATCTGGTTGTAATTGGACAAGGACAAAGAATAGATACCCTTCCTCAATTGTGTCTCAAGGGCATTTAGACTTGAGAGAAAAACCAGGTGTTGACGGTTCCCTGGAGCCATCCTTCATTTCATCCTTTTACAACCTTGGGCGACTAAACACTGGCCAAATACGATCCAAAATACGCAGGAGACAGGACGTTTTTATGAGAAACAGAGCGTCAGTTCAGAGGTCTTCAGCTGTAGCCGGCACAGTCTGCGTGGCAGGAGCCCATTCACCGTGAATACTTCCACATTCGTCACTGACAGTGTTCCCCAGAGGATGCTCCTTACTGACAGACAAAATAAACTCCTGGACAGAAATGTGAATTGTTCCAAGATGGTGGGATGCCAAAAATAAAGGTGCCTGCGGGCATACTTGCACTTTGAGAACACTACCTCTTTTTAAAGAATTGACATAACTCTTTGTCAGCTCTGGGAGAATACAGTAACTAAGCGCTCCACACCCATTACCCCTTAGATGTGGGGGAAGACACACACACACACACACACACACACACACACACACACACACACACTTTCTCTCCTGTAATTTATTTCTACCGGAGCCTTTCCCTGTGTTCTTGACAGTAAGCCTAACTCGGAGAGAGGCAGAATTAATCATGGCTCCTCGCCCTATCTTAATTAAATCATTTCACATCATAGATTTCACACGAGAGGAAAAATATCTACCTCATCTTTCAGCCCGGGCGGGGGTGCCGGCTGCGAACGTATCGCATCAAGCTATCAAAGGTTCACTGTTAAGTTTCATCTCCAGGATTACAATTTCACAGAAGAGTTGTCATGTCCGGCTTTTACCGGAGAGCAGCATGTTAGCCAACTATTGCAGGGGCTGGAGGGGGGAGGGAGGGCGCTGATGGGTGCAGCAGGCAGCCTTGACTGTATCAACAGAAAAGTTTGTTGCCCTTTTAAAGTACACAGAGCTTTCAATTGCACAGCTGAACTCTGTATCCTTGGTTAGGGTGCTATGTCTAGTTCTGTGTCTGTTGACTCGGCGGATGCTTTTGTGATTCTCAGTATGATGTTTTTTGTTCATCAACAAAGGTAAAAGGCAATGAAATTAGCCAAGTCTCGTCAACAACCCACCTCTAAC